ACCTTCTGATCAGCAATTCTAAGAGGCTCAGTGGTTTAGACCACAGCGCCACCCGCGTCTGTTGTGATTACCGTACCTTAAAAAAGGATACTGTAGGGAATGTTTCTGAAAAGAACAACCCAAATCATCAACTTGCGGGAACAACTCACCTATGAGGAAAGGTTACAACATAGTAATAATAAAAAAATTAAAGGAAAGGAAAGGTTGGAACTTCTTAGTTTAGGAAAAAAGATGGGTGAGTGGGGTATATAAAATAAAGGTATATAAAATAGTGAATGATGTGAAGGGGATAGAGAGATAATTCCATTCTTCTTTCATAATACTGGAATCCCCTGGTCATCCAGTGAAGCAGAGTGGTAGAAGCATAATAGACAAAAGGAAGGAGATCTGCTTTATAAGTTGTCCTACGATGCTTCCTCCCATGTAATTGCATTACAGTGGTACCTCGGGTTAACTACTTAATTCGTTCCAGAGGTCCGTTCTTAACCTGAAACTGTTCTTAACCTGAAGCACCACTTTAGCTAATGGGGCCTCCTGCTGCCACCGCGCCACCACAGCACGATATCTGTTCTCATCCTGAAGCAAAGTTCTTAACCCGAGGTACTATTTCTGGGTTAGCGAAGTCTGTAACCTGAAGCGTATGTAACCTGAAGCGTATGTAACCCAAGGTACCACTGTATTACCATTTGGAGAGGCCCCCTTGCATTATAGCGCAATAAAAGTGCGAAGGGGGAAATAAATGGGAACATTTGTGATATAAAAATTTGCAAAGATCTCAGCAGGAAGTTGCAGGACACACACTGATTGGAAATGAAGCAGCAAAAGCCAAAAGCCAAAACCTATGCAGGGGTAAATATTATTGAAAGTGGGATAGTGTATAACCACTCCAATACCACAGAGTGCACAAATCAATATGAATGAGTACTAAAAAGGATTTCTGAAAAGACTCTTAACTGCAGCTCTACTGCCTCTGAGGAACTGGTACTAGAATATCACTTCAGAGTGAACATTTTTAGAATCAGGCTGAAAACATGAACTCCTTAACCTGAAACTAAGTCCTCATTGGCAGTATGACTCCTAATAAATGTGCACTTATTAAATGTATTTGTTTATATTTCTGGCAACTCTTTTCTAGTCTTCTCTGAACATCTCACATGGGAAACTATTGACCTTTGAAAGCTTCAGGAAACTAGTTAAGGCTTATCTGCTCTTTTTAGTTGTTTTATGGATAGTTACTCTTTTCATTTCACTTTTAATTTTTATACCGCCTTTCTATATTACTACACACAAAATGGTTTACAAGCTGAAGAAACAACAAAACAGAAAGCAGAGATCACACACATAATAACAGTTAGTACCAATACCAAAAAGTTACAATAACTTTAAAATGAATGACTTATATCAAATAAAGCAATATTCAATAATCCATTAGAATATAATAGTAAACAGTAAAATAAAGTATCAGCAAAATATAATTAAACAGTTTACACTTTTCAGTTAAAATAAAGAACTACTATGGAAGGACAGATCCTGAAGCTAAGACTCCAATACTTTGGCCACTTCATGAGAAGAGAAGACTCCCTGGAAAAGACCCTGATGTTGGGAAAGATGGAGGGCACAAGGAGAAGGGGACGACAGAGGACAAGATGGTTGGACAGTGTTCTCAAAGCTACCAATATGAGTCTGACCAAACTGCAGGAGGCAGTGGAAGACAGAAGTGCCTGGCATGCTCTGGTCCATGGGGTCACGAAGAGTTGGACACGACTAAATGACTAAACAACAAACTAAAATCAATTAAAAAATAACAGCAAGTCATGATGCATAAAACACCACAAAACATGGAACGCTATGTAAAAGGATCAAATTGAGAAATAAGGACTCACAACTTTGTTTAAAAAAAACCAAAAAAATCTGCTGTTCTCAAAATCATAGTCTGGGGAAAGCTGCTAGGACTGGAGGGTGGGGCAAGGCAGGTGGAAAATGCCACTGCCTGATTAACTGCAGGAAATCACTTTCTCTAGAATTTTCTTTCTTTAGAAATGTGCTTCAGGGAAATCCAAAGCTCTGGATCAGGCTTGTAAACCTAATCTTCATTAGTGCTACTCTTTCAGGGCTTGGAGAGAATCCGGATTCAGTTTGTATTTAAAGGTGAACTTCCCAGGTTCATATTTCCTCGGTTTGGCTTCTTCATCAGGTACTTTCTTCAGCCACCTGGACATACATTTGTGGTAAAGCAGGTGTGGTAGATGGACTTACTTCCTGGGCAGCTGGTTCACTGTCTCCTCTTGTCTCTTTCCTGAACTTTGGCACTTTGAAAAACTGAGTACACGTCTAACACCTTGATGCCTTAATGAAAAATGGAAGTGGGGGATATAAATTCTGAATATTTATCCTCCCTTTCTCCCTCAAAGGTAGACCCAAAGTTTTACACACACACACAAATCTGATAAAAGTATCAAACCAAGTTCACTAATAAAACACCAATAAAAAATTAAAATATAAAAGCTGCAAAAGGTAATGGCTGGCTGGAAACTACATACAACAGTAGAATAACTCATCTACTAAATTACATTACAGTGGTACCTCGGGTTACATACGCTTCAGGTTACATATGCTTCAGGTTACAGACTCCGCTAACCCAGAAATAGTACCTCAGGTTAAGAACTTTGCTTCAGGAGGAGAACAGAAAACATGCTCTGGCGGCAGCAGGAGGCCCCATTAGCTAAAGTGGTGCCTCAGGTTAAGAACAGTTTCAGGTTAAGAACTGACTTCTGGAACAAATTAAGTTCTTAACCCAAGGCACCACTGTAAAGTCAGGATCCAAAGACAGCTGAAAAATAACCAGAGAACATTAGCCAAAGAATTCTGGAAGACCTGAAAGGAATCCAGTAAAAGGACTTTCCACATTTCTTCCAGAAGGTGCCACAAAGTTAGTGCTACTTCTGAAAAGGATGATAGAATCGTAGAATTGTAAAGCTGGAAACCCCTGAAATGCAGGTATCATGCAGCGCAGGAAACATGTTTCTGGATACACTTGCCAAAAATGTGGTTCACCCGCCTTGCTGTGTATAGGGACCCTTCTACTCATTTTGGAGTGGGGTCCTGGGCTTCTGCCTGCACTACTAGGAGTGTAGCCTGAATTATGGTGCTGAAGGAGACTCTTGAGAGTCCCATGGACTGCAAGAAGATCAAACGTATCCATTCTGAAGGAAATCAGTACTGAGTGCTCACTGGAAGGACAGATCCTGAAGCTGAGGCTCCAATACTTTGGCCACCTCATGAGAAGAGATGACTCCCTGGAAAAGACCCTGATATTGGGAAAGATGGAGGGCACAAGGAGAAGGGGACGACAGAGGACGAGATGGTTGGATAGTGTTCTCGAAGCTACCAGCATGAGTTTGACCAAAGTGTGGGAGGCAGTGGAAGACAGAAGTGCCTGGCGTGCCTCTGGTCCATGGGGTCATGAAGAGTTGGACACGACTAAACAACAACAACAACAAAAACCCCACTGAAATCAAATGGGACACACCACCTGTGTAGCTGTGCATAGGATTGCCTCCATCAGCTTTTCATGTTGAAACTGGGGCAGAATTTGAGCAATAGGAAGTGCTTTCTCTAGCATCAAGCCCAGGAATGCAGATGTGTGTGGGTGTAGAGGGTGGGAGCATATTCAACAGAGCATAGGAGCCAACTCCTAGGGGCTGAGGTCCCTTTGCCCTCCCCCCATAAAATAATTGAAGGGGCCATGGTCCCCCAAAGTTTAGGGGCATTGTCATGGTGTGTGTGCGCTGTGTCTTGTGATTAGTTATGCAGGGTGGGGTTACCTGCCCCCCCCCAAAAAAAATATTTTATTCAAGTTAGCACCCTTGCAACAGAGTGAAAGGTAAGAGGGCAAAGGCTGTAAGAAACCATCATAAAGAATGAAAAATATTTCACACTTATATCCATTTCATTAGATTTAATTTTAATTAAAGTACTAGCATCCTTGCTGTCTTGCAATTTTGCAAAGTCTGGTAATGAACTTCAGAAATTGCAGGGTGCTCATTTATTTATTTAAAGTATTGTTTAAATACCATGGGGGGGTTATAAAAAAAAGAAAAAGAAAAAACCTTCTCAAAACAGTTTACAAAATGAAAACCTGAAGCAGTAATGTAGAAAGTTTTAAATATGAAATAATATTATACAAAATAGCAATATTAAACTATATATATATATATATGAATGATTTGGAACACCATTTTTATGCTGTTGATAGAACTACATTGCGTTACAGTACGAGATTATTATTTCGGTAGAGAGGAGTAGAACAAAATAACAAATAAAAGTCAACAAAATGGGTGCGTTTTGACTTAATTGTACATTGCATGAAATGCAGTACAGGTGGTCATCTATACGCAGAAAGTCCCAGGTGGGGCTGGGAGAGAACCTTGTCCAAAATCCCACACAGCTGATGCCCTTCTGTGGGGCAACACCGAGCCGCCTTGACTCTCCGTAAAGCAGCGTCTTCTGTAACCGTAGCCATATCAAGATACTTTTTAACCCCTTAAGAAAAAGATAGGACATCTGCCAAATTCAGGGAGAATAGGGATAGAGGGGTCGGAAATTCCCTGTTTTTATCCCTGCTCAGGTGCACCCCATCCATCGTCTTCAGAGAAAGATGGTCGAGATTCTAGAATCGGACCGCCTGGAAAGTAGGCACCCTTTACAGTAATAGTTTCTCCGACAGAACTTTCGAATCTGTCAAGCCACCCTTGGGATAAAAAGCAACTCAACTCATCTGGCTGGTAGACTACACCTCGGGCGGGATGCTACATTATCCGGAAGCGGTTGCTATTCGCGTTCTTCTTCCCAGGGGCCGCCTCGCACCCCCACCCCGCCCCACCCCACCCCCAGAGGCCAAGTACCTGCCCAGGGACATTGCCGCGCCCGCCCATGAAATATAATACGGGCGTTGTCCGCTCCAATAAAACTCGGCGTCTTGCGATGGGCGGGTAGTAACTATGGAGAGCGCCTGCTCCTCCGCTGCCCCCGCCCGACACTCGCTCACCTCTTACTTCATCGACAGCATCCTAGGCAGCCGGAGCCCCGACGAGGGACACCACGGTGAGCGGCGCAGGAGGAGGAAAAGGATACGGTACCGGGGTGATCAGTGACGGGGGCGCCCTTCTTCCAACTTGCCCCGTCCATTAAGATGGAGAAGAGGGGTTTTAGGGAGACCCCAGGAATGCCATTGGGCCCAGGGGGACAGAGTCGGGGGGGGGGGTGGTTTTCTGTCCAGTGTTGCAGGCAGAGAACTCCAGTGTGGGAAAGTTGCTAGAATTCTGATGGGGGGGGGGGGCAAACCTATTCGCTCATCTCCACCTGCACCTGTTAACCTGAGCCCTTATCGCCGCAGCCCTAAACGCAAATCCTAAACATCTTTGCAGCCAAGTTACTCCATCAAAACAGAACTTTACCCTCGCGTCCCCCATACCTTACGTAAGCGCAAGTAAGGCTTCAGCCTTACTTTATTCGGTGTTGTCGGGGTTTGCGCAGACTTTAAACACACCAAAAACTGTCCTATATCCTGCCCTGACTGGCATACATCACTTTTAGTTCCAAGCCTAAATTTTACTTTACTTGCTTATTTGCCGTGGGGGGTTAACTAGCCTTTCTTCTATCCCGCGGAACTCCCCGAGGCTTTACTTCCAAGTAAACGGAGCTGCGGCGGGAGGGGGGGGGTTGCGGCGTGCGCTTTTTCAGGACGCGATCCTGACGCCCGTTTCACTCACCGTAGTGACTATCCAAGGGCAGGCACGGACGCGATTCTTCCCTCGCCTCTACCCCTCCACTCACAAAAGTTCTCCTTTTCCCCTCCTGCAAGCCGGAGACCCCGTCGAGCCGCCGAACCCACCCCAGGCCCATCCGATGGCGGAAAAAATGGCCCCAGAACTCCCGGCGGGGAGCGGCGCGGACCAGGGGAAGGGAAGAGAGGAAGCTGGAGGGAGAGGCGCTCCAAACATCCCGGCGCAGAACGCAGCCCGCAACGCCGTCGAGGCTCCTGGGCCCGCGCCACCGAGGAAGCGCCGCTACCGGACAACCTTCAGCGACTCCCAGCTGGATGAACTGGAGCGCGCCTTCCGCACGTCCCACTACCCCGACGTGGGCACCAGGTAGGCTAGGTGCGCCTTCGGTAGCGGGAAGGACAGGTGTGTCCCCATCTGCACTATCCGTCTAAATACAGCGTTGGGACTGTAGTTTCATCCTTAAACGAAAGTGCCCAAGATTGGGGGAGGAGAGCCACGTGCTTCAAAAGTATGTTGCGGGTCTGCTCTAAGTCTGGCTTTGCGGTCTATATTGTCGGCGCTAACAGCCTCTCGCCAGGGTTTCAGACGGAACGTTCCCATCTCCTACTCGGAGACGCTGGGGCAGCGCCGGATTTAGGGCGGTATGGGTGGTTCCCTTGCACAGGGTGAAGAGTCGAGAGGGCATGCAAACAAAATAATAATAATAATAATAATGATAATAATAATAATGCCTATACAGTGGTACCTCGGGTTAAGTACTTAATTCGTTCCGGAGGTCCGTTCTTAACCTGAAGCACCACTTTAGCTAATGGGGCCTCCTGCTGCCACTGTGCCGCCACTGCACGATTTCTGTTCTCATCCTGAAGCAAAGTTCTTAACCCGAGGTACTATTTCTGGGTTAGTGGAGTCTGTAACCTGAAGCGTAAGTAACCCAAGGTACCACTGTATCTATACAGGTACCTACTGAGAAGATCCAATTTTTAAAATAAAAAAAAACTGTACAAAAAGAAATTGTTGTGAAAATGCAAAGGTTCCAGGTTCAATTCCTGGCATTTCCAGTTACTGTGGTGCCTCTGGTTACAGACACTTCAGGTTAAAGACACTTCAGGTTACAGACTCCACTAACCCAGAAATAGTACCTCGGGTTAAGAACTTTGCTTCAGGATGAGAACAAAAATCGTGTGGTGGTGTCGTGGCGGCAGTGGAAGGCCCCATTAGCTAAAGTGGTGCTTCAGGTTAAGAACAGTTTCAGGTTAAGAACGGACCTCCAGAATGAATTAAGTTCTTAACCTGAGGTACCACTGTAAAAGGATTTAGAGATGTGATGGGGATGCCAGTTAGATATTTCAAGGGAAAGTTTAATTATGATAAAAGTGTGTATTGGCAATAAGTAATATGAAATCAAAATATGGAATAGACGGGAGGTTGGGTCTTTAATGTTAAGACCAATTTATGTTTTATTGTTTGTTAAGAAAATAATGTGTCTATGGTTATTCCTGTGTGCAAATTTGGTATTTGTGTTTTTTCTTTTTTCTTTCTGTATCAATAATAAAAATTCATTCTGGACGTCCTTTCTTTTTATTATTATTAAGTTCTTAACCTGAGGTACCACTGTAAAAGGGTTTAGAGATGTGATGGGGATGCCTGTTAGAACTGGTTAGAGCCAAAAATAGTAGGCAAGGTGGATAAACAGTACAGGACAGTTCCCTATGTTTTATATGTCAAGGTTGTTTATTGCATCACTCATTCCCCAGCTCATCTTGCTAATGCCTCTCTGTTGCTCTCCACTCCACCTCACAGTGTACCTTGTTCAGCAATTGCTTATCAGGTGCAAGCCAGCCAACCATTATAGTTGGTGCATGTCACTCATTCCACACCTGTAAGAAATTGGTCTTTTAGTGTGGTAGCACCTACACTTTGGAACTCCCTGTCTATTGATGTCAGGCAACCAGCTGCCTTTGCTGTATGCTTTTTCTTTCAGCACCTGCTTAAAACATTTATGTTTAGGTGAGCCTATCCAGACACACAGATGCTGACACTGGCCTTAAAAATCCGTAACTAAAACAAGCAATAAAACAAACAATTATATAAAGCATAACTAGAGGTGCCATCTGGAGGTGGAGGGAGGGATGGACCATGGACCCCCAATATTTTCAAAGAGGGAGTCAGCCCGCCCAAAAAATTACACAGCGATCCTCAGGTTTCTCTTACACACAGCAGTGGTTTTAGGAAGTCATTAGCTTGCACCAGACCCAGTTTTCTGAGTGCATGTTTCCCTGCCCAGGCTGCTTCAGGTTGCAGTAGATGTTCTCCTGGAGACACGTAGCCTGGTAGAAGCTGTTTCCTGGTTCTGCTGCATTTCTCAGCAGCTTTTGATACCACTGACCATGGTATCCTTCTGGATCACCTAGAGGAGTTGGGAGCTGGGGGTACTGTTATGCAGTGGTTCTGCTCCTTCCTCCTAGGCTGTGTCCAGAAAGTGTTTTTGGGGGGTGAGTGGTGCATGCTCTGGTAATCTCCCACTTGGACTACTGCAACACACCTTACATGGGGCCACTGGCGGAGGAAGAGGAGTGCGGGGGGAGTGCACCGCCCGCCCCCCCGCAGATCGATCCTGATGGGGTGCCATCATGGCTGCCCTCCCACCTGTGCTGGGTGCCACGCCACCACAGGCAGCATGCCACACCACTAGGACGCGCACCAGCCCCACCCACGCCTGCTCTCCACATTTTTCGCTCTATAGGACGCACCTAGTTTTAGAGGGAGAGAACAAGAAGAAGAAAATTCTCTCCCTCTCTGCGCAGCGCCCCTTCAGCAAAGCAGCAGAAGAAACTGAGCCCCTTCCATTTCTCCTCCCGCTTCCCTGAAGGGGCGCTGCGCAAAGAGGGAAAGCTGTGCAGCGCCTCTCCAGCAAAGCAAAGCCTGGAGAGCAAGAGGGATCGGTGCGCACCGACCCCTCTCGCTCTCCTGGCTTCAGCGAAAGCAACGCGAAGCCTCCGGAGCACAGAGGGAGTGCTCCCTCTGCACTTCGGCCGCTTCGCGTTGCTATCGCTGAAGCCATGGAGCCTGCATTCACTCCATAAGACACACACACACACATTTCCCCTTAATTTTTGGAGGGGAAAAGGTGCGTCTTATAGAGCAAAAAAATACGGTAATCCCGAAAGCGGCAGCTAGCCTGGTGACTGGGAGTGGCCGCCAAAACCATATAACACCAGTCCTAAAGGACCTTCACAGAGCTTCAGTGTATGTTTCCGAGCACAATTCAAAGTGTTGTTGCTGACCTTTAAAGCCATAAACGGCCTTGGCTCAGTATACCTGAAGGGTAATCTCCACCCACATCATTCAGCTCAGACAATGATGGCCTTCTGGCAGTTCCTTCTTTCCAAGAAGCGGAGTTACAGGGAACAAGGCAGATGGCCTTCTCTGTAGTGGCACACTGTGAAATGCCCTCCCACCAGATAAAGAACTGTACAACTTTTAGAGGACACTAGAAGGCAGTCCTGTGTTGGGAATCTTTGGATGTTTGACATTTTATTATTTTTTATATGTGTTGGAAGCCGCCCAGAGTGGCTGCAGCAACCCAGCCCAATGGGCAGTGTATCAATAAAATGATTATTGTTGTTGCTGCTATTATTATTATTATTATTATTATTATTATTATTATTATGCGAGCCAATTGGTCTATCTTGCTCAGTTTTGTCATCTCTGACTGGTAGTGGTTTTAGGCAAGGATCTTTACTTTCCTTAGTGAGGGGTCAAACCATCTGCAGAGCGTCTACCACAGGGCAATGGACCTTGCCCCCCACCATCCAGTTCCAGTTGTGATGGAACTCCAGCCTCTGCTTTAGCAGATCTTGTATTTATGAACACACCACACATTTAAAGCATGTGACTTCTCCAAAAGAATCCTGGGAACTGTAGTTTAACTCCCACAGAGCTGCAGTTCCCAGCACCCTTAGCAAACTATGCTTCTGATGATTCTTGAGGGGGATCTGATGTGCTTTGAATGCCTTCCTCCACCTGTATCCCTTCCCTTGGTTCTTCCCCTGTGTTGAGTTATACTATAGATTGTAAGCTCCTTGGGGCTGAGACATTGCCCTCTTATAAAGCAGGCCCACTGGTAGCACTGTATACGGAATGCTGCAATAATCATGTTCAAAATGCATTTTTTTCTCCATTGGCAGGGAGGCACTTGCAAAGAGTCTGGACCTTAAGGAATCCAGAGTTCAGGTAAGATACAGCTACTTCAGGTAAGCTGCCCAGAGTCGCTGGGGCAACACAGTCAGGTGGGCAGGATACAAATAATAAATTTATTATTATTATTATGTTTCCGTGTGCTCTGGCACTCGTCACAGTGTCCCATTGCACCAGAAGCGGCTTAGTCCTGCTGGCCACATGACCCAGAAAGCTGTCTATAGACAAACACCGGCTCCCTCAGCCTGAAAGCAAGATGAGCACCACAACCCCATAGTCGCCTTTGACTGGACTTAACCGTCCAGGGGTCCTTTACCTTTTACCTTATTATGTATGCATATTTTATAGTGCTAGGTAAATCAAAGTCTGACTCTGAATGTGAGAAATAGAAAAGCGAATCCATCACTATGCCAAATCTGGATGTTACTACTCTTTCGCTTGTCTTCAGAATGGAAAGGGGGTGGGAACTGTAGAAATGTCTCACAGGTACAAACCAGCCTTATCTCCAGGGCTTTTTCCGCCCCCGCCCTCCAGCCGGAACTCACCGGAACTGCGCGCCATTGCCATTACAAACACAGTGTAAGGAGTCTCTATGGGAATATATTGTATTTTTAAAATGGGGTATCAGAGTTTTTAGGGGGCTAACCAGGTTGGGAAAGCTGGGATAGCAGGCTTGTTGGTTTTGAATGTCTTACGTAGATTTCCCTCCTCCCCCCCCCCCCCCAGTTTCGTTGTTCTGTATGGGACAATGACAATAAAGATTATTGTATCGTATCGTAAGAGAACAAAGTGGGGATGTTCATGGCAAGTTCTGGCACCTCTTTTTCTAGAGAAATAGCACTGCTTACCTCAATCGCTCATCACAGCATTGGCTCATGCTCAGCCGCCCATTCCCCCTACCTCTTGTCTCCTTTGCTGAGACATCAGCGACTCCATTACAGAAAAGCTGTTGTTAGTTCAACTAAGACCCCATCTTCACTGTTCACTTAAAGTCAAGGGTAGGCAAACTAAGGCCTGGAGGCTGGATCCGGCCCAATTGCCTGGTGTTTTTACATGAGTAGAATGTGTGCTTTTATTTAAAATGCATCTCTGGGTTATTTTGGGGGCATAGGAATTTGTTCATCCCCCCCCAAAAAAAATATAGACCAGCCCCTCACAAGGTCTGAGGGACAG